AAAAAAAAAATTAAAACACAAAGTAAAAATAAAACTAAGTCATTAAAAAGCAGTAGTTACATACAGATTTTTAATAGACATATGGTGGTGCATCCAGTGATTCTATCACTTTGAAAAGTGATCCCTAACTTTATTCCAATAAGAGAACGAATTTCATTGCTCAGTGAGTTTTGTGGGTGTTTTTTGTTCTTTTTAGTCACAGTAGTTGGTCAGAGCTTAGCATCCTGAGATTTATCTGTGTTGATAGTATGAAGAAAATGGGTTGCCTTTTTTATACAGTACTGTTTACAAACACTATACAAAACCTTTTATTTAGAGAATGAAGGGAAATCAAACAGTGGTCGACTTTATGCTTCTCTTGAAACGTCTGTGGAAATGTTTCATCTCAGTGCTTCTTTACCAGGTTTCTTTTCCATCTGCATCTTTCCCTGAGCAGTAACAAGTGCTTCTGTTCCTGAAATTCATTAAACAATTGGAAATGGTTATGCTGATCAGCTTGACTGATGTTTTGTTAATGTTGATGGTATATTGGTGTTCCATTCCGCAAAATAACCCCTGGAGCCTAGAGAGTAAATCCTCAGCTTCAAAGTGAATCTGTAATTATCCCTTGTAGTTTTTAGAAAGGTGTATTTCCATTGATTTAGCTTCTTCCTTTGCCTCAGACTCTTCTAATTGTCTGCCTCTGCAGAGGGAAATTAAAAATAAATGAGTTATTCAATGAAGGCTCTTGTTTCTGAGTTTGAGCTTTCAAATGTCACAGCGGAGAATCTTTTTTCCCCTCTGAGGAATCTAATAGTCTGTGAGTGGGCTTTTTTTGATAATTGTGCTATTTTGGGGGTTCATCATATTCTCTGTAATTGAAGCAGATGTTGAAACTTCTCTAGAGGAGAAGACTCTTCTAAGTCTGTGTTGTAGCATATCAGTCTTGCATCCCCAAAGGTTTGAGGTTAATGTAAAAATGAAATAGTAAGGCAGATGTTGTGTGTAATGTTGCTGTAGGTGGATAGTCCCTGTTGATCCAAAACACTTAAAAATGTGCAACTCACAGCTGCATACTAGGTGTAGCAAATGGTTGGATGATAAATTGTTTTAGGATTTTTTTGACAGCCAGTCACAATCCAGCTCTATCTGTGCAGAGTGATTTTGTGCTATTAGAATAGTGCTGCAATGATAAAAGCAATTCGTAAGTTGAAAGAGCTACCTCACTATTTGTGAGTAACTTACAGACATGTTTTGGGGGGAAAAATCCTGAGCATATTTCAACTTAGCTGCTCTACTGGTTTCTCATTCTGATATAATGATGTGTCACTAAAGAATACGTGTAACTAAAGTTTTGTTTAGCTAAGAATTTTTGAACAAGCTAGTAAGTAACTGGTCACAAATTCCAAGAGGACAGTAGTGATATTTGATTTGCCTAAGTATTTGTTAAAATCAGTTCAAAAATATTTATTCAACGTTCAGTTTTATAAAATGAAAATATGAAAGGCAAACTAATGGAAAACAGTGAAAATCAAGCACTTTTTGCTTTTGTGCATTACTATGAATCTGTGGCCCAAATTTATGTGAAGGAATTTCACCTGATTTCACCTACTATATTCTCAAAATTGAAAAGTGTTTTAAAAATATGGAATCCAGCCTTCATTGGCCAGACTTCGAACTTAACCATGGCAGCCTATCTGGAGGGACACTTGAAATGAAAACTGATCTGAAGGGCCATGTGTAAACCAGTTGTGTAGAAGCACTGACAAGAGTTGGGTGGCGCTGCTGCTGTGCACTGGTTCTTTGCTAGGGGAAGATGCTAGTGAGTGCCTGGTCCTTCTTTTTCCTTACATCCTAGTTTCCACTGGAAAGAAGCCCTACTGCATATCATGACCTAGCCCTTACAAGAGAGATTTATAGTCTGTGTAAACTAGAGTTTGTTCCAGTTAGATGCAGAGTAGTGTAAATTACACGAGATTCCAGAAGGATGTAGCACTGAGTGAAATAGTGTAAATGATCAAAGTATCCAGAAAGATGTAGTGCTGAGAAATGAAAACAGTGGGTACAGAAGGCTAAGGCCAGAATGAAGGGTCTACTAATACATTTTTTGTTCTACTCACTGGCTAGAGATGCTCAAGAAATGGGGGCTTTTCCAGTCATTGTCATCAGGAACAAGGAAGCAGTGTGTATACTTAGATGGAGTTCTTCAAAGGAGTCTTTTAGCAGAAATTCTGTTTAAGGAATGCATCTTGTTTACACTTAAGCAGAAGCGAAATGATGAAACTAGTTTTCCCAAATACTTTTTTTTTTTATTATGCAATCTAGCAATGTCAAAAAAGATGGAAGAAATGCTTCCTTCATGCAGACAGTGGAGATATTTAGCTGAGGGACTGAAAGAACTTATGATTTCTTTCCAAACAGTGGAATTTTCACTGCAAAATTCTTGCTGTTTCTGGAGGGTTTGACTGTGAAACTCTGCATCCATTCCTAAAGCCATGTCCTGTGCTCATGGCGGAAGAAGTTTTGTGCATATGATCTATATATGGACTGCAGTGTTCAGATCCCTAACAGTTCTTACTGAGGTTATGCTGTCTGAATGCCACTCAAAGGAAGCCACCTGCAAGGGTGTTGTATGTAATTTCCCCCTACAGTGAAAGGATGTTCATTATGGTATTGGCTTCTCTTCAAGTATTAATTTTGATCAAAGAGTTCTGGAAGCATCAACGCTGTACTTTGGGGATGTTTTGTTTCCTGCTTCATCTCTTAGGGCAATGGAGCTTTTCCAAAATAAGAGCCATAAGTCTTCAGGTTGTTCTTTATATATTGCGCAGTAATCGGATTTATCTGTTTGTTAGACTCGTTTTACTTAATTTATTTATGTCAATATGTTATGTTTGCAAGAGAGCCCTGTAAATATTTTCAGGTAAAAAAACTGCAAGTGATTAATATTTTTAAAGAATATTGCATCAAAATGCTAATAGGTGACAGGAAACAAGCAACTAACTGTACTATTCAGCTTATTTTCAGTGTGCTGCAAATTTTTAAATCACTGTTCTCAGGAAAAGATGCCAGAACTGCAATAAAGGGTCAGAAAATTGAAGTTTATCCTGCTTTTGGTAGCTCTGATAGTCTTGAATTCATAGGACCCAGAGTTTCACTCTAACTATACTACTAATGATAGGGGACAGAAGTTTAGTTGGAGCCAGTCTGTCTGTGCCTCACTTTGAAAGGAACCAGTTACGTGCTTTCAAGTGCTAATTTAGGAGGATGAGCACAAGAATCAAGTGCAAAGAAAAAGTCTGTTAGCTCCGATGTTGTCTTGTGTTTCTGACTTTCAGAACCAAACTCTCTGCTATTAAAACGTTTACATTGTTTGAACACAAAAATTATTTAAATTAAAAAGTTAATTTCAAGGCCACAAAAGGTTATATATTCTGATAACATGAAATAGTTTTATCTCAGAATATCTTCAGTTCTTCTTTTCTTCCAGATGTGACCTTCTGATGTATATTAATACGTGAAAAAAAGAATGTTTTCTTGGAATATGTCTGCAAAAGATGCAATAGAGCTGTAAAAACAGGCTGAATTGCTTTTCGGTAGTCTGCGATATAGGTTACCTAACTTTAAGATTAAAACTAAAAAAGTAGGTCACACTAACAGAATAGGAGGGATATTTCTCTGTAGGTCAATGATTTATTGGGTAGCACCAAGCCCACAACACTTTGCCTGATTGTCTGAGGTGCACAGAAATATCAGCTAACAAAAAATAGGTTTTTTCGCATGGATCTTGCCAGACAGGATTTCTAGCATACTTTGCTTGAGATACTTTGCCTTGCCTAGCATTCTTGGCATTACTCACAACTCTGAAGGCACTGGGACCTACTTTTTTAAGGAATTCCTAGCTACCAGATCCACATCACTTACCTTGTCAAACACTTGTCTGTACTAAAAAGGGAAATTCTATCTGAAAATGCTGGGACAACTGCATTGGTGACACTGAATATCTTCACATTTTGTGCTGCTAGTCGTGCAAAATCAGTAAGAAAAATCATTCCAATGTTTGTTTGGTTCACGTACCCCATACACGAGGATGTATCATACATTCAGAGCATTGCTTCTACATGCGTGTGAGATTTTTGTAGAGATTTCAAAATATTTCTTAGTGGAATGCTGGTCAAATGTTGTTTCCAAAGAATTACTTTTCAGATGTTTTCACGCATTCTTTGAACATGCTTAAGAAACATTTGCAGAATGCATTATACATATGCTTTTCATTCTGCACTGCTTTCTGATTCAAACCACCAGAATGAGAAACGTTGTTACTCCTAAGAAGCTATGAATTTCTTCCTTTCTTTTTTCAGCACAGATGCAGTAAATTGTCTACTTTATCAGAATTGTGGGCAGTTTTTTTAATCACATTTTTCATAAGTTGAGCTTGACCCAGGAAAGTGGAATCTGGAAAGGGAGAGCTTTTTTGTTTGCTAGGTTTGGGTTGTTTTTTTTGTTTGTTTGTTTGTTTTTCTAATATATTATCTCGTGCCACAAAGATACATCTAAGGGATTTGAAGGTGCTTCCAGAGTCTCTTTGCTCTGTTCCTCTGAGGTAATGAGTTTGACCTTATGTGAACAGCAATTACTTATCATTGGCTATATCAAAAAACACCAGAGTTAAAGGGGAACACTGGAAGGTGCTGACTAACAATAACTCTAACCTTGTACAAATGAGAATTAAGCAAATATAAATAAATAAAAATAAGCAGTGCTTCATTATTGAAGAGTGAGACATTTCTGACAACCTGTTGTGCAGTTTTAGTGGTCCATTTAACTTTCATAAACTTCTTGACAGCCAGCCACAGCATATTGGTGTTAGAAATATTACAGATGTATTCAAAGTACTTCAGTTAATTACTGTATGGGAACTGTTGAGTCATGGCCTGAACCGCTGATTGATCACCTCAGGAAAGGGCTGAGTCAGCCCTGGGAGCACAGGTGAAGGCAATTCAGCTGTGTGATCAGAAGGGATGGAGCCTGGCTGCACCCCTCCTAAACCCCATTTAAGGACTGAGTGCCACTGGGGAAGGGTGTCTTTCTGGAGATCCCTCCTCTGTGGAGTCTTTCCTGTGAACCTAGGTCTTCAGGTACAGGTGAGCATTCCTTCCCTGTTTGTTTCTTTTCCCATTTTCACCATGATAATCTTTTCAGCTGTAACACCAGCTGTAACAATTATGTAGTTAAAAAAAAAAAAAAAGAAAGAAAAACTAAATTCAGTTTTCTCACAGTATTTAGCAGAGTAGCTTCATTTACTAGAGTTATGCTCAATATTTCCACTGGAAAAATGGAATGTTTTGCCCACTAGTGGTGTATTATAAATATTGTTTTGTGATAATGGAAATCATATATATATGTTTGTGTGTGTATTTATTTGTGGTTTTGTTTTGTTTGTTATTTTCACAGACAGTTCCACTGGGGCTGGGAGATGGACAGTTGTTCACCTGGACTGATGGACTGAAAAGGAAGGATTGGCACGATTATGAAAGTATTCAAAAAGATGCTATGCGTTCAGGTATGCTTTAGTTCAGAGCAAGTTTAAGAGTTTTATTTGTTTATTTTCCTCATATGGTCATTCTTTCTTTTAAGTCAGCTAAAAAGAATCGTAACAGTCTGTATTTAATTAGTGCATGTCACAAGGATGTAATCTGAACTGAGGGGTCAAAACAAAGACAAATAGTATATCTCTGAAAATAACTAAGCAAACATAGAAATAATGTGTTGAATGCTGATAGCTATATAATTATGCTAAGGAAGAGGCAAAAATTTAATAACAGAATACTTTTCATGTTGAAGTCATTTGTGATACTGTATCCAAATATAAGCATAAGCATTGGTTTCCAAACACAGGACAGAGCTGAAGCTGAATTGTCTTTCAATCAGTGGATAAAATCTGAGCCAAGTACTTACAACTGTCAGGAACATCCCAGTTATATTAGGAATAACAATACAAATGACCCTATTACCATTGTTGAAATCTAGCCTCTTAGTCTTACTTACGCTAAAGTACTTCATTCTGACAGTCTAAAATGATGTGGAAATAAAAGCAAATTGTATTTGCAGATGAACTGAAGGACACTTCGTTATATTCAGTAACATAATTTTAATGTACCTTCATGTGTTGTAGGCCATATGCGCAGATTTGTGTTCCTCTGTCATAGGAACACGTTCAGATTTGAATCTTTCTTTTGTAATACAATTTATTGCTATTCAGCATAACGTGAATTTATTTAAAGGGACAGAAGGAAAACTGTTGTTAAATTGCACCCTAATCAGTGTTTCAAAGTAATTAGCTGTTGTAAAATAATGTACTATCATAAATCACTGTCTTGATCCAACTGTCAGATGACAGTCAACACCTCTCTCAAAATACCTCTATGACTGAATCCATATGACACTCATAATCATCTTTTTGGGTCAGCTGTCAGTTGAACCTCCTCTGAACTTCTTGCCCAAACTAACCAACTTGCTGGAAAAAGCCTTGAGGTTGTGCAAGTACATAGTCAAAACATTGGTGTGTTACCAATGCTGATGTAGTCACAGATTCAAAACACAGCAGACAGGCTGCTGTGAAGAAAATTACCCCCATCATAGCCAGACTCAGTATGTATGTAGAAGTCCTTAGAGAAATCTTTGATGCAGCTGGAATAGAGCTTAGCTCTCCACTCTTTGTCCAGACTCTGGATAAATGATCCTGCTTTTCTAGCTGTATCTGAATACTTGCAAGTTACTGGAAGAGGGTGGTTTGGCCTGTAATTAAGGCAGCAGTCTGAAAGTCCATAAATTTAACTTGAATTTCCAGTTTTCTCACAGGTATTTAATTTTCTCGGAGTCTTGATTTCTTGTCATGAAAAGAGATAATGCTTTCTAGCTCTATTAGGAATGTTGTAAGGTATTGTTTTTTACCAATGGCAAAAAATACAAAGCAGTCTTTGGAGATGTAACTCTTCAAAAGCTAATTTGTTCAGTAGCCATATTTTTTCTGTACCTAGTAAAAATCTCTAAATTAGCATGTGATATGGGGCTGCACTGCTAACAGGTCTAATAGGCTACACACAGGTTTCTCTGAAATTCTGCCATGATCTTACTGATACAGTTGCATAGATTCACAAAATGGCAATCAGCTTCTGCACTTATACCTAGCTGTGCCATGACCCTCCCATGGAGTAGCTTTGTGTTATTCTCCCCTTAACCATTACTTCCCAGGAGCAGAGCCCCAGAGCCTGGTGCCTCCCTCTGCTTCCCATCCTTAGGAATCTGCGGAGACCAGTGAGGTTACCACTTGACCTTGCCCTCAGGGCAACCCAGACATCCTGAGCCTCTCCTTGTAGGACTTGCCTTTTCTTGCTTTTCTCAGATAGTTAAATAAATGGTTTTTGACACAGATAAATTCTTCATCCCCTACCCAGTGTTGTAGGTTGACCCTATATAAAATTTCTCTTTTGTCTTGAATCTTGGTAACTCTTTGACTGCTATGACTTTTGTAGAATGATTTTGAGAAGTTAATTAAATATCTTGTGTGCTATCATTTTTAGTCTTTTTTTTTTTTTATTCTGAGTTCGAAAAGTGCTAGAAGTACTTCTCTATTACAGACTATTTTGTTGTTTTATTTGGAGCTTGTTTTTAATAATGTTTCAATAGTTTCAATCTTTCCAAGCAGAAATAAAACTTTAAAGGAAGTTCTAAGAATCTTTGGTTTTGATAAGCGAGTGCAACAAATCAATAGAGGAAACATGATGGAAATTTGCAGAAGCAGCTAATTGCTATACTGTTGTTAGAAAAGGAAAGATAGCCAATTAGTTCCAGTTATCCAAGCCCTGATTTACACAAAAGCAGAAGGGAGCATTTAATGACTTGTATTTAACATACTGCTCATCAGTACGGAATAGGCATAGTGAAATTGAAGATATTTTGTTCAGACATCCCAATCACTTCCATTTTTCTCTGAATAATGTTTTTGCATTACTTCAAAACCAGTGATTGAAACATAGAAAAATGAATGTAGAAGTTCACCTTTGGCAAAAAAAAAAAAAAAAAAAAAAGCTAATTCTTAGTGATATGGTTTTTATGGGCACTTTAGGAAGGAAAAACTCAGAAGTTTTAGTGTTTCCATTTCTGAAGTAGCCCATTCAGTGAATCAGATGTAACAATGGTAGGGGAAGGAACAGAACATGCTAAGCAGAGAAAGTTTAGAGTTGATATGTCATGCCATCTTTCTGACAAGAAACCAGCATTTCAACTAAATGCTATTTCTATTTTATTTTCCTCTGGGAATACATCTTATGGCACGCCTTGATGAAGAATACGCTTAATTTACATTAAAATTAAGAAAACTGTAATCAAATGCTTCCATCTGTTTTTTTCTTTTCAGCGTGTGGTAAATATTGTCTTGTGTATAAATGAAAGAGTTCTTACATTGCAGTTAGCAATGTAAATACAACTTGTGGTAAAAACCTAGGTGACTGTTAGTATGCATGTTAGTTCTGCTATGGCTACAGTGGTGGTATCAGAGCAGTTCAAGGCTGCCAGGATCTCTGGACAGAGTAGAAATCCTGGATGCTGGAACCCCTAGCATTCCCACTTATCAGCTGCGAAATCTACATGTCTCTTTACTTCATCAGACATTGCCCTAGTTTCCCTTGGTTGTCTGGGAAGGACTGATGTCTATCAAGTTCTTCACTACAGGAGCATGACAGCTGCTGTCGTGCCAACGACCACTGGTTTTCCTGGTTTTCTAAGAAGGACTAGGAATCTGAAATGCCCTGAATGCTCTCGTAAATTATGACATTCACAAGAGTGCCAGGAAGGCCTCAGGTAGTAATCCAGAAGAATCTATGAGAAATTTTGTTGATTTCACTGCTATCTTTATACTCTGGGTAAGATTCAGAGTCTTAATGAATCAGTCAATGTCATTGTTACTCCATTATTACATCTAATTCTATCAATAAATTCTCTGCCATGTGTGCCCATCAATTACAAGTAATAGCATTAATGATGAATTATAGCCCTTTTCAGTTAAGAGGAACAATTTACGTGTGTAATTCTTAGGTATTTAGAGAAGTATAGATTGAGCACTTGTATGTGAGTACAGTGCTATTTCTGATCCTGGAAAGCTGTTTCTAACTATGAGCGATAGCTTACCCATGGTTAAGTACTTCAGAAGGGAAACTGAAGGAACAGAAAAATGGAAGCTTTCAAGCAGAGAAGCAGAGAATTTTTGGGAAAACAAATAAGGCTTAATTTCTGAATAATTTTTATTCATTATTTTTGTGAAATTAAAACCCATAAAGTGCCACAGAGAGATTGCATACCAGAAATTCCTTAGCGGAGTTTTTTTTTTTTTTCATTCAGTTTCTCTTTCACCTTGTTAGGTAAAGGAAATATTTCAGAAATCTGCCCTTTAAATACTCTTGGTTTCTTTCTTCTCTTATATTTTGACTAATTGCATGTGTGTGCTAAAATGATTGAAATTGATTAATTGCACAGAAAATTTACATTAATTGAAGGCAAATTTAGAAAAGAATGGTGACTGCTAAGGATCTGTGTTTATAGCCCTAAACACTTTTTTTTTAAATTCACCTTTAAGATAAATAGTTTAAAGAATTAATAAAGTGACTTTTAAAATTCAGCTGTCAATATTTTTTAACTGTTGAGCTATATTGCTTCTGTCTGTTAATAGGATCTCAGAGGAAAAACTTCTGCAATGTATCCAGTCATTATCCTAGCAGTTATTGAGTCATGCGTAGTCTTTTTTTTTTCTCCTATTTATTTATTTAAATAGCATGCAGAAGACTTAGTTGAAGGGAAAAAAAATGGAAGTTATAATTCCTGCCGATATCCCATGTAGTCTTTGCTTTTTTGTCTCTTTGACCATGTTATCTTGGTCTGGAGAAAAGTATTTTAAAGATCTTGACCTTTGCATGCCGCAGTGCAGACATTTCATACAGGTTAGTTCACCTGAGATGGATGAACCATTAAAGCTTCTGATAAGGTGATGCTCACCTAGAAGCATATAGACAACTTAGGCTGATAGTAACTGTCCTTGTTGTGCACACAGATTAGTCTTATTGTAGAACAATATATCTTAGGCTAAATATTCCTGTGTATTTACATTAATAGAATCTGGAACTTGGAGACAAAACTAAACTAAAAAAAAGTTACTGTAACACTCTAAACAAATACCTGAAAAGGAAATGCATTGTATATGTGATGAAAATAGTAATAGCATGAGGCTCCATATGCCTGGGGTTTCATGTAAATAGAGGCAGAAGAGTCATGAGTGCTTTTGTACATCATTATAAAGTAGTGAACACCTGAGAGCTGACTTCTGCGTGATCTAAAGCAATAATTCATTGGTGAATTTTTTTTCCCATCGTTTCTGTTCAAATGTTCTTCATAATAAAATGAGATAGAATAGTTCCACAAAACTTCTGTGGTTATCCTTCTGATTTTGAATGGTGTCTATTCTTAAGCTCAGGATAATTTTTCAAAGGAAAACTTAGTGCCAAAGTGACT